CACACAGTTGTGTGTATAGGGTGAAGATTAGGGGGCTTAAGACACAGCCTTGTGGTGCTCCAGTGTTGAGGGTGCAGGGGCTGGAGGTGTGTCTGCCCACTCTGACCACCTGGGATCTGTTTGACAGGAAGTCCAGGATCTAAGCACACAGGAAGGTGTTTAGCCCTGAAGTATGTCAACCAGCTTGGAATGGAGGCTGGCGGGGAGTATGGTGTTGAAATCTGAACTAAATATTGCGATATTAAAAACAACTGATGTGATGCTCTGAAGGAAAAGACACCCTGACTAAATGTAGTTTTCCTGAGTGGGATTGTGCAGTGCACCCGATAGCTGCACTTCTAGTTGTCCTGTTTGTTGTGAGCCATATAAATAAAGAAAGTGACAATCTTCATTTCTGTTTCTACATCAGTTACATTTACCCAGATATGTTGAGAAAAATGTTTAATCAAAAAACTCTTTGATTTTTAAGAATATTTTACAACATGAGCAGAAACATTTTTTACACAACGAAAACAGCTCTATTATATTACTGTAGCATGTAGCTATTAATCATTATAAGCAGCAACCTATTTACAGTATAAATCCAAATCATGAATCATGAATGGGGCAGCAGTAGTAGCTCAGTCTGTAGAGACCTAGGTTGTACGGGAGTTTGTCTGTTTGTTGGAGACGTTCCAGGTCACTTTCTGAGTACAGCCAAATTGTTCTTAAGTAAGGCACTGAACCCCTAACAGCTATGACGCACTCCCTGTGTATCAGTCCCACTCTGACATCTCTCTATTAGTGCACGTTCATATGTCCTGTTTGTGCATGTTTGTATTTTGAGTCTTTGTGTGTGAGTAGTACAATGTCTCAATATCAGAGTGTAAACCAGAATTTCCCCTTCAGGATTAATAAAGTATATTAAAACTTTAATTCCTGTTTTAGGTTTGTGTTTTTAACCTTCAGTCAGGTGATCATTTTCTGTGTTTGTCAATTATTTTAAGATACAAGTAAACAAGTGAAACATTCTTAACATGGAAATACTGATTAAAGTGTTTTTTTAACCAAACACATGATTTTTATTTCTCTTCTCTCTGCAGTGACTCCTGTGTTTGTGAAGACAGGAACAGATTTACTTCTGGAAGTGAAGGAACCTGTTGTTCTGAAGGAGGGAGAGGATTTTATATGGAAGGTCAATGGCAGTGATAATGTTGTGAAATTTCGTGGTATTAAAACAATCCATTCCAGAAAGTTATAAATCTAGAGTAGAATTTTCTGCACAAAATCACTCTCTACTGTTAAAGAACGTACAAAAGGGGGACAGTGGAGTTCACAGAGCACTTGTTTCTGGTGACGAAGACATCACTGTAGCTGAATACAACGTCACAGTTCTGGGTACGTTTCTTTAATTTGAAAATGTTGATACAGAGTCGTTCCCTGTTTTAAAAAAAGTCATCACACTTGCTTTGCTTCCTGCAGATCCAGTGTCTGGAGTGAAGCTGACAGTGAAACTCTGCAGCTCAGACTCCACTAAGGTCACAGTGATCTGCAGCACTGAGGACTCTCTCATCAACAGCACGTTCACATGTGACAACCAAACCTGCTCTCACGAGGGAGGAGAGCGAGCAGAGATCATCACACCTGGTGCTTCTCTGGACGTCTACCTGGAGAACAGCTCAGTCATCTGTAACCATAGCAACCAGGTCAGCTCTACAAGGGACATCCAAAAGATTGAAGAGTTTTGTGTAAAGCCTGAAGGTAAGAATTAAAAACTACAATTTAACGCTTATAAACAGTGTGGATTGTAGCCTGAATAGAAACATACAGATACTTATTTCTCTTTTGATGAAACAGTGATATAAATATTCTCCATTGTGTTTCAGCTGTTGGTAGGAGATCATTTTGTTCATAAATTCTGAAGAAATAATTTCAGCAGAAACATTGTCATGATTTAAGACTAATCAGTGCTAGTTTGTTAATCAATTAGCTTTAAAAAAAAAAGTTTTTATTTATTTTTCAAAACAACACACACAAAATATAAACGTACACATGACAGACCATTAACAAAAACCACAAGAAGAAAAACAAAGACCAAACCAGTCATCATGTTCATCATTCTTCTAAACATGGCCTCAGTGCGATCCATCTCATTTCAGTCATTCATTGTTCCCTCTCTGTTTGTGATTACGCCCTCTAAACTATAAAATGAAACGAAGCAGAGATTATTTGACATATAAATGGGCTAGCATTAATTGTTTAAAAGCTAAAAACAATGAAATTGATTTCATGAGATTCAGATGTGTTATTAATCCCTGAAGGTCAATTCAGTCACACAGCCTTTAGAGTCTTATTAAAAGAAGTCAAGACAAAGTAAAGAGTTACATTTACATTCAGTTACAACAGGTCAGCAGAGGAGAAGCAAGATCTAAAAATCTATTTAAAAAATACAATGTCAGAAATGTCTAAGGTGATCCTTAAAACCAGGAGGTGACTATCCTTCCATGTAGTTTTAAATTGTGACTTTAGGGCACCATCCATTCAGGGTTGATTAGACCAATTTCATATTTTACTACAGATCAGGTCTGTGAGATTGAGTGGTTATAGTTCACTCTCAGGTATGCTGCAAGAGTTCAGCCAAGTATGAATTTCTAATCTGGCTTTCTTTTTTCTTTACAGCATCGAAAGGCAGCCAAAATAATGTTACACGATTGTTGTAGCCATCGTCTTATCTCTTGTTGTTGTTTTGGCTATAATTTGAATTCATCATCGAAGGAGAAAACAAAGTAAGTTAAGTTTGCATTTAAAGTGAATTTAAATGTGAAATCAGAAAATCCTTATTGTTTACATCAAACTGAATTGACCCTTTAGATGAGTACATTCTTCTCCCCTGTGTTGATGTTTTTATTATCATTCAAAAGACGTCCCTTATGAGTGAATCCTCTTATCAGGGCGATCTGATAAAGACAGCGCAGCAGTTACACTTAGAAGCCACACCTTAGAGTTAGAATAAATAAACAATTTACAATGTTAACAAAATAAATCACATGTAAAGAACTTTTAAATTCACATGAATTTACAATATTTGAGGATGGCAATTCAAAACTGTTTATCATTTACAAACAATTAAAATGAGGCCCCATTATAAAATGTTTATGCATTTTGATTGCATTCATTACTATTAATAAATTAACAGAATACATTTTTCAATGTAGAAAAAGTGACTCTCAAAATCACACCAAATAAATCCAGAACAGAATCAGCTCCAGTAATGTTAATGTAGTTTCAACATGTTTCTTTATGACTGATCTGCAGATAAAGCAGAGAACATGGAAAATACAGTCTATGAAGATCCTCAGTTAAGGAGGAATATTTTTTAATACCAATTTCTCAAATTAGTCAGAAGTGAAGAAATTCTTGAACAAATTAATGATTGAGAACTGATGTGAAGAGACAGGCCAGAGACATTACTGTTTTCAAATTCCTCACTAGCTCATATTCTATTGGTCATGTCTTCACACATATGGAGCCCTGCGTTAGTTCAGGAGGAATACGGTAGTTCTGCTCGCAAGCGGCCATCAGCTGATCTGAGAACCGCCCCAATGCCAACCAATCATTTTCACACTTTGACAACAAGGCGGTGTATTTAAACCATTCTGCCTCTCACTCCTCCTGCATCACATCCACTCTGCTGATAGACACTGCTGTGAAATTTTCCTTCCACCAACCCAACCTCCACCTGCTTCAGTCATCACATTTTATACTCTAGGAGGAATTGTTTGCTTCTTATGTCTGCAAGATGTTAGTACCATTACATGCACATTCAGGCTCTGTTCTGCATGTCCCCATGGGGGGAATTAAATGTTTGCACTCTCAGCAAAATCTGTGGCATGCTGCACTGATACTGCTGAGAGATAAGAGCAGCTTAGTTCTCAGCAGCTTCAGTTCAGTCAGCTATTTCTGACTGAACTTACATAGTGGTCTGTTCAATGAGCTCTTATAACACTAACCTCTGCATTGATCTGCTCTTCCAGGTCCTGCTGCTTGCTCCTACCAGCCACATGCTCACAGCTCATGTCTCTGGTTGTTCTGCTTTCTTGTGCTTCAATGTAATGCAATGAAGCTTTAAAACGATTGATTTCCAGATGAATGTTGAATGGCAATCCATCTCTTCCACCCTGGTGCTTCAACAGTTTCATGTCGCAATGTGTCCATTATGACTGCAGTAAGTCTGCTATGTATGTTTGTCTGCTTTTTGAAACTTGTTTTCCCCTCATTTTTTGCAACTTCACAAAAGTGGCGTCTTTGCAAAAACAACAAATGCAGGTTCTGCAAGGTGCTGTGGGCTCAGAAGTCTGTGTACTATTATCGAGATCAGGCCAGTGTTGAAAATAAAGCCCATGTGGAAGTGCCCAAAACTGCAGCTCCTGAGGGCTGACAAATACCCATTTCCACCCCATATTAAAATGTCCGTTTGTACTAAGTGCTGACAGGCTGGTATAAAGAAAACCATAGCTCATTTCTAGATCCATGACGACTTCTTCCCAACAGTTGTAAATGTATTAAACCTTTGAAGTTATGGGATGTTGTGGTTCTGTGTGGCAGGTCGAACCGAATAGCTTTAGAAATACAAAGATTTCCCATCTCAGGGGAAAATGAGGGCGGGATGCACGACCATTCAAAAACACTACCAGGTTTCTAATGATACAAAGATTAATGCAAATGGGTGAAGTATCCCTTTAATGACCTGACTGTAACTGAGTCTTTGTGGGATGTTTTCTCAGTCACAAATCGGACAAATAATGTAGCAGTAGCTTTCTGTGATAAATTGTACTAACATGCTTTTCAAGAAGTCTGGACTGAAGCAACAGTTTTTATCTTCTCACTTAATATGAAGGATTATATGTCTGTTAAGGAGTTCATTGGCTGTTATTTATTTTAGTGCTAATACATTATAATAGCCCAATTAGAAAATCACATATCAAATAGCAAAATAACCATTCTTATGTTGTGTGTTAAAGTGAATACAGACCTCCCTCTGCAGCAGAGACCAACAAATGATGCCCCAGCTGGTCCTCTACCCTCCATCTACTCCTTGTTGGGGCCTCCCATCGTCTCTGAAGCACCCACTCAGCCCAGAGACAACGCTCAGCCAGAGATCCTGTATGCAAAGGGGGAAATTATGAATTGTTGAATATGATGTCTTCAACACACTTCTCTTGCAGGAATGATCACTTCAGTTTAGTTTAGTTTAGTATCAGTGAAGGACTTCTGACTGCGTCTTCTTTTTCTTTGCATCGGTCGTGGACTAGCTACTTGAGTCATGCAATGAAGTTAAAAGACCCAACTACAGTCAGATTGCTGATTTTATTATGAATTATAACAACAAGCACCTTCTGATTGGAATCATTTGCCAGATAACCTGTGAACAATTAACTCTTTTCATACCTTTTCTGCTTCTGATTGTACTGTAATCTTTGTAATTACCATCATTAGTGTCAATACTTACAATGTTATTAGTTAATATGTGATGTGAAATCTCGTGGCTGTTTACATTGTGTAGGCGGAGTGGCAATACAGGATTAATGTCCTGGTGGGTTGATGTATGAGTGTGTTTGTATGTGTTGTTGAATGTCTCTGTGTCACTTGTAATGTTGTGTATTCATATGTTGTATGATTCAATACATTTTACATTTCAATCTGCTGATGAATAATACCATTTGGACTTCAGACCGAAACAAGAACTGTTTTGTTGCAGACATTTGAGCCTCTCACCTGCAACATCATAAATTATATGTTTATAGAGATCATTTATGTCACATGCTATATGGAGACACCTTTGCTGTTAACAATCAGGTGACACATACAATAGAACTGTTTTGATGCAGATCATTTTATTTTTTGAAATTAATTTACTGTATATATTTCAAATGTTACGTTCTATTTTTTTTTTACATAGTTTTATTGCTAATTTGTGTTTTTGCCAATATTTGATCATCTTGATGCTTCTTATCAAATGTTTCTTTAAACCTTAATGTGAATAAAGCCTTTTTAATTTAAAGCTACAGTGAGGATCTTCTGGTTTGTGTCAATTTTAAAGCACCTTGTGGATAAAAGAAAAGAAAAGAAATCTCATCCAGCTTTTTATTTTAAAGCAAATGTATCACTCAACATGAACCTTTATCATGCAGAATGTAAAAAAGGTAAGTTTGGCCTGACACCTCCTCCATAGTGACTTGTCCATGATGATCTCCTCAGCTTGTGTAGCTCATAAAGAGGCTTCAGTATTAATCTCAGTCTGTTACATAACCAGTTAATAACTCCTCACAGGAGCTTTAACAGACATTTAAAGAATGAGTGAATAAGTTTACTGCTTCACACTGAACTTCATGTCAGCAAAAAGAAACAATAAAACAAGTGAATTAACACCAAACACATCAAACTCTCTCACCTATTAGCCATTATCCATCCAATATATCGATGAGTACAATATATTTACAATGCTTTTGTTATTACTGAAGGTCCAGAAAGGAGGCTTCACATCATATTATAGAGTGAGAGTTTATTACTGAGGGTCCAATATGATGCTTGGACAAATACTGTGAAATATCATTGATTAATATTTTATAATTATCATTAATAATATTATAAATAGACAAACGACATTACAAATACTGCATTTTATGTTTTTCTACAGACAACATTCTCAAAAACATCAAAAACATCAACTCTGAGCAATGAATTTATTTACAAGAGGCCAAGGTAAACAATTTAATTCAAGAAATAAAATCATTTTGCCCTGTGATTAACTGGGAACAGTCCAGGGTTTACCCCGCCTCTCAGCCAATGACAGCGGGGATCGGCTCCAGCCCCCCCGCCCGCGACCCCGAATAATGGATGGAGGGAAATGATAGCATTGTGTGATGGATGAACTGTGTGTATAGTAAAGAAACAATGTGATTGCTTTTTTTTACATTAATTTTATTGATAAAAAAGGTATTTATAATATGTCTATGAAGCTTTACAAAAGTGCTGAGTCACTTCTATCCTAATAAACTTTAGAAGTCAAAGCAGAATTGTACAGGTATTTTTACTCTCTTCATTATTTGCATCCATGTTTGCTGATATTCTTCCTCTGCCTCCTCAAACTACATTTCTCTGTGTTTTACCGCCACCAACAGTCCAGTGGAATAGCATGAAGTCTGTGAAATAAGTGTGTATATACCACCGTGCCCCCTGCAGACTCACATACACACAGCTTAAACACAACAAGGTCACACATGTTCAGTCAAAAAAAAGAAAAGAAAACGAGTAGCTCCATTGTGCTACTAGTGGTCAAACTCTCCACAGAGGATTGTTGGGGGAGAGGTGGTTGTTTATCTTTTCTTCTTAAGCTTCTCTACGACGTGAACACTGATGACGGCACACATCATGATGACCAGACCGATCGAGACCACGTATATCTTCAGCCTGTAGATAGAGAAACCAACCCCAGATATCTCTGGACCAAAAAAAAACATTGTTTCATTAGAAAAGTGACGCAAACCGATCTTCAACAAGAATGTGATTCAACAACAGGACAGGGTGCAACAAGTCAGTTGTTCCTCTTTTTGCATACTGACTTTACATCTAAACAGGAAGATCCTTTGACATTTTACCAGCCACAGTTTAACAGAACATGAGTCGACAATAAGAGAGGAGGAGATTTGTTAGAAACTTCAGGACAGGATTAGATGCATCGCTTCATCTACGGAGGACGCAGAAAGAGTTCTCTCCAATGTTTTGGATTTGGACTGCAGTACCCGTTTTAAACACTAGGTGTCAGAGCTACATATTGCACCATTAAAGTCATAGTGCAGAATAAATGTCAGTGATCTTTTCAACTTTAAAGAAAATGTATGGTCTTGCCTATTAACAGTTATATTTAAGCCATGGCAAATTTATATAGAAAATCAATATTTTTTTTCTGGAACATTCAATGATTTCTGTTTATTAAAAGATAACATGGACTGAGATAACTCTGCATTACAAATTGGGCCATGAAAATGTCAACATTGGATGGTCTTTAATCGTGACCTTATTTCTGTCTCCTAGGCAATTATTACTTGCAATATTAATAATATATTTGATCACCTGCCAAAAGCTGAAACACCATAAAAAAATCTGGAGAAAAAACCATATTGTTACACCAAAAAAATGTTTTTACTCTGTTGTTTTTTATTTAGGCTACAATCAACAGTGTTCATTAGCATCAAATTGTAGTTATTAACTCTTACCGTCGGGCTTCACACAAAGATCTTCAATCTTTATGGATGTCCCTTGTAGAGCTGACCTGGTTGCTATGGTTACAGATGACTGAGCTGTTCTCCAGGTAGACGTCCAGAGAAGCACCAGGTGTGATGATCTCTGCTCGCTCTCCTCCCTCGTGAGAGCAGGTTTGTGTGTCACATGTGAACGTGTTGCTGATGAGAGAGTCCTCAGTGCTGCAGATCACTGTGACTTTAGTGGAGTCTGAGCTGCAGAGTTTCACTGTCAGCTTCACTCCAGACACTGGATCTGCAGGAAGCAAAGCAAGTGTGATGACTTTTTTTAAAACAGGGAACGACTCTGTATCAACATTTTCAAATTAAAGAAACGTACCCAGAACTGTGACGCTGTATTCAGCTACAGGGATGTCTTTGTCACCAGAAACACTTGCTCTGTAAACTCCACTGTCCCTCTTTTGTACGTTCTTTAACAGTAGAGAGTGATTTTGTGCAGACAATTCTGCTCTAGATTTATAACTCTCTGAAACCAATGTTTCAATATCATAAACTAGTGTCACAACATTAACACTGCCATTGACTCTCCATGTTAAAACATTTAACCTCTTCAGAACAACAGGTTCCTTCACTTCCAGAAGTAAATCTGTTCCTGTCTGCACAAACACAGGAGTCCCTGCAGAGAGAAGAGAAATAAAAATCATGTGTTTGGTTAAAAAAAAAATTGAATCAATATTTCCATGTTAACAATGTATCACTTGTTTACTTGTATTTTAAAGTTCTTGACAAACACAGAAAATGATCACCTGACTGAAGGTTAAAAATACAAACCTAAAACAGGAATGAATGTTGTGCTTACATTCACATTAATACATTTGTATATCATATGTTTTATTATTAATTATTTATAATAAACTATGCATACTTGTATTGATTGTTTGAAGTCTTTATTTTGTTTGAAAAGGAGCAGGAAGAATATTTATTATTGTTGCTTTGTTAGGGACTGTCTCTTTGCATTTATCCCTCTAACACTTTATATTTTAATTGATCTATTTCTCTGTTGTGTTTTTTACACTGTTCTCTTGCTCTAATTTTGGAGCTATCTACTATATATCCCTATAAATAAAGTTTCTTATCTTATCTCGTCTCGTCTCACACCTGTGTAAGAACTCAAAGCTGTGAAAACAAATACATTATTGTCTCGTCTCGTCTTATGGATATCTTATCTTGTGCTCAGTGATAAAATTAGGCATTTTTTTCCTCTTATTTCAGAGAACCAGGTTCTTTTTAAAACACTGAAGCTTCATCAGCATGCTTTTAGCGTGAAACTGTTTTAAGTCTCAAACTTTTCTAAATATATACAAAGACACTGAAACATTTACTGTAATAAAGGTTTTCCACTTTGTCATTCCTTCATGCAAATTCTTTAAAATCTGTCCCTCTTTCTTAATATGTCATCACTTAGATTACATTTATTACAGATACAAACACAAACTGATAAAATCATGTATCGCAAGTGAAGCTCATATTTATTTGTAATCATGAATTCAAACCTGAGGTCACTTCATGTTGATCTGTAAATTAGACGGAGCAGAGAAGTCTTTTTCAAGTGGCCGGGAAAACAGTTAGCTTACATCTTTTTATAATAATCTACATTGTTTGCATCACTCTTGCAGTATTATGTTTACCGAACATAAAAACTTCAAAAATAAATCTAAGTTGTCTTAAATTAAATAAAATAGTGAAACTGTTTCTTTTTGAAAAGACTCATTCCTGTTCTCTAATAAAAAGTGAGATTATACCCTCAACTAGTGAAATGTTAAATATTGTTAAAAAAATTGAGTACTGAATAATTGAATTGTTTATTTTGTTTCAATTGAACAGTTTTCCCCCTAATCTGTCTTTAGTTACAGGAGATGATCACATGATTTAACTTTTAGTTTTGTTATTTGTCCTTTTCCCCACAAATTAAAAGTAATAATTATTCTCATTTTTATAATAATAAGATGATGTTCTTCTCCTACCTTGTGCCTGGATGCCAGCCAGCAGACCCAGAATCATAAAGATGAACATGATAGAGCCTCTGTTGTTCTGGATGCCACAACGTGTGTGTTCTGTTTCACTGTTACAAACACACCACAGGGTTAGAGCGAGTCAACCTCAGGATGTCAGCCTTTTTTTTTATCTTCTCTCTGAGCTCCATTTCATTTCTCTTGATGTGTAGAGTTTGTTACTGTAGGTCCTGAGGTCAAAATGGATGAAAGATTATAAACAAGTGGACTTTAGTATGGTTGATCAAATCCTGTTGGACTCTTTCAGAGACTTTAATGAAAATCAGTGTTATGGAGCACATCGTCTCCAACAATGTAGATTATTTTTGATAAATGTTGATGTCTACGCCGAGAGGAAGGTGAACCTCTCACTCGAGAGTCAGTGTTTATGTAGAAAAATATAAATGATTTAGACCTCTTAATGTACTTTGTTAATATGACTCTGAAAAGACTAAATCTAAATCATGAATTTGTCTTCTTTTCTTCCGTTGTTTAATCTTGCTCGATTTACTGCAGAGGAAGTGAGATAGATAACAATCTTCAGTCAATCTGGCACTGAGCTCCTCTCTGATTGGCCCAAGAGGACAGGTAACAGGATATTGAATGTGTGTGAGAGCAGCAGACTGGTTGATGTTTGTCACGTTTGAGAACGCTGTGAGGAGAGTCAGTTTTTCTGTTTGCCTAACTTCTCCTTTTTCTTGTCTGCAGAGGACATTATTATTTTGTTTGCATGTGGCCAGCATGAATACATTTCTGTTACAACTGAGAAATCTGCAACCCGGTTGTCGATCCTTTCGTTCGCTCTCTCACACTGTCTGCCATATAGAAGTACAACAATCAGCAATGTAACTTGTTTTCTTTGCTCCCTTCAGAGGTCATTGTTTCATCTTGTGTTTTTGAGACATTTGAAAGGAAAAAAGGATCCAACTTGAGGATTCAAATCAAGAGAAATAAACCTTCAACTCATGACATTGAAGGGTGGAAAGTGTAGTTATGTCCGTGTATTAGTTCAGAATTTGGGTCATGTTGCTTCTCTACCAATGTGGTTAAAACCACTCCTTTGTTCTCTCTCGTTGGTCTGGATTTAACATGTTGTGCATTTCCTGTGTGCAACATAAAGAAGACTGAACTTTTAGAGTTCCATCTGAAAACAAACACATTTAATGAAAACAGAACAAGCAGATGCATGAGTAACTCATTTATTTGACCTGATCATACTTTTTAATAACACTTAATTTATCTGGCACTTTTCAAAAGAAGGTTACAAAGTGCTTTACACAATGAAAATAAAATCAAATAGAAGAGAAATGTGAGGAAGAGAATGATTAAAAAAATCAATAATAAAAAATAGTGGGAGATTAACCAACGTGAGTTCCACAAATGGTAATAATGAAAAGGAGTTTTGTTGTTGAGCTAAATTGTTTTGCCTCTTTATCTGGATTGAAACCAAACTATGAAAAATGTTGTATTCTTACACTGCATGGCCGTTAGGCGAACTGCACCAGTAACCTGTTGCTCGCTCTCCCTCCTGTGCTCGTCACATGTGCTCGTACGTACACAAACAAGCATCATCATCGGCCGTGATACACTGGATATTTACCGGCATAATGTTTACAGAGGAGGTAAGTGGTCATACACATGTGAAAGTCTGTGAAGGAGTCTGTGTGTCTGTATTCATTCTCCATCCTACAAACGACAGTCTCTGCAGGCACTGGCTGAGAGCAGGAGTGTGTGATGAGTTTGTACTGTTGATCTCTGTAAGCGGAGTGAGGAAGACGTTGAGAACGTGTATAAAATGTCACTTCCTGGAACTTTCACGGAAAATACGACCCGGAGAAAAACGTTATACAGGCAACACAGATAGTGACAAGGCTTTCAGTCTGCATTAGGTTTTGTTTTGTGTTTTGCAAATTTTATATTATTTTCCTAGGTTCCTAGGTTTTGTTGTGTTTTGGTTTTCACCCTTGTCTCTGTCTTTCAGATCCTGCCCCTCTTGTTCCCGCCTTGTGTGTCAGCTCCGCCCTGATTACCTTCACCTGTGTCTCGTTGGTCCCTGATTGTCTGTGTATTTAATCCCTGTGTGTTCTCCCTCCTGTTGCCAGTTCGTTGTGTTCTCTGTGTTCCCTCGGTCCAGCATTATTATTGACTTTGATCTTTGTGTATGACCCTTGCTGCTGTTTTGACCCTGCCTTGCTTAGCCCTCTGGATTTGTTTATCATTGCCTTCTCGTGTACCGAACTCTGCCTAGATTAAAGGACTGATTTATAACTCTCCCTCTGAGTCTGCGTTTGCTCCATACCGTGAATCTTTGTGTCAGTTAGACAGTGAACATCTTGTTTTTCACATCAGTTAACTGTTCGCTTATTAATGGACGATAAAAAACAATTTATACATTTAAAAAGTTACATATAGCCCCTTTAATAATAAATATTAAAGGTCCCATATTATGCTTTTTCTGGTTTTACATGCCCTTCAGTGTGTTTTGTGCATGTTTAGGAACATCTATGTGCAAAATTCAAAGTCCGCGGAAACGCGGCTTCTCCTACGTCCTCCTGTTAGCTGTAGCATTAGCCGCATGTAACCCTCGGTTCTAGCCCCCCTCGATAAACATTTGTCAGTCTGACATAATTGTCAGTGTGAGATCACTGATCTAAGCCCGTTGGCTCGTTTAGGCAAACCCAGCAGCTCATGTTGAAATTCCCGAGAAGCGTGCTGAGCAACTGACCAATAACGACAGAGCGGATCAGCAGACCAATCAGAGCAGACTTGGCCCACGTGGGGTCTAACAGTGTGGGCTCAACAGAGTGCAGCTGACGGACTCAGAGCGTAGAGGGAGCAAGGAGGAGCAGTACATGAAAACAGACACTTTTTTCAAACTTTAGCTATTGTGAATGTACAAAAGTAGGTACATTAAATATACGAACCCAAAAAGGGCAGAATATGGGCTCTTTAAACCCGCGTAATAACTCTTACCTGACAGGAAGGAGGTTTGGAATACACTGAAACTCTTCTCTTTTGTCCGCGATGGTTGTTGGCATTGAGTAAATTATCGCCCCCTGCTGGTATCGATCACAGGCGCGTACATTTGACGCTGAAGACAGGCAATGCGTGACACTGACACGCATCCTCTAGTGGACCAACGTGTCTATTACACGCTTTGGCATGATAC